TTTTGTCTGTCTGTTACCGCATCACGAGAAAACCACTGGACAGATTTTGATGAAATTTGGTATGATGATAGCTGGTTATTCGGGTGAACATATAGGATACTTTTTACCGCGGGAAAATATCTCATTTCTGAGAAAAAATACAAAAATTGATTGTAAGACTATACTAATATGTAAAACCTAAGAATTTGGTTTTTGGTCATCAGAACGCGGGCGGAGCCGCGGGCAATGCTAGTACCATAATAAAAAAAAGATATATTGCGAAGAATTTTTATAACTCCGTTATTGTATGACAAATAACCTAGATTTAAACGATTATTCTACTTATTAATATAAAATATTACTTCTTAACGTTAAATTAATGGTAAAAGCTGGTGGGTTAGCTTTAATAAATCATGAACAGCTTAATTTGCGTGAACGCTTATAGCGCATGTTCGCTCAATGATTTATTGTATGCCGTTTACTGACAATTTCATATATTAGGCGTTTGAAGATTAAATTTTGCACCAAACATAATTAAATAATAAATTTATTTCTAAAACTTTGTAGCGGTTCGTATGGAAAATGTAATATCTATTTTTTTATTGAATCTTTTACACCACACGGTACATGTCAGCCTACTGAAATACAACACAGTATGTTTTTAAAGAAAATATGTAAATAAATGAAAAATTATCAATATTGTTAATAGTTAATATTAAAAAAAAACTTTTTTTTTAATTACTAGGAGAATGTTTGTAAAGCAAATCTGACATTTTTAAAATTATCCGTTGTTTTTTTTCTCTCATAATTGCTATGTTATCTTTCTTTTTAAATAGTATGTAGGATATCATGGAAATTGTTAAGGTAGTTATTTTTAAAGTGGATTTAATGTGACTGCATTGCGATATGTTTGGTAATTTTTAATTATTTCCTATAAATTGTAAGTTTCTTAAGTAACACAATAGGTATTATTATTGTACTGTATTTATTATTAAGTCAACAATAGGCTCTACAATATTAGGTAAGTACTTAGTTATCGCAATAAGGTTCAAAAAGTTAAAATCTTACAATTACGAGTAATTAGCTTGCTGCGTTAATAGCATAGGCCATAGATATTAGAGACCACGCTATGTTCATTATTTAGGGAACGGGGAATTCAATGGAGGAATCCCATGACGTCACCGGCGCCCGACTCCCGGCGCGTGTCGCCCACATGGTATTTTAGTTTAAAATTTAAAAATAAACAATTATACACTTTATAGCTTCATAATAAGGGTTAAATCTCTGTGTTACCTAAGCGATAACTTAACTATATTTTGTGAGATATATTTTTACTGCCTTATTCAATGGTAATAGAGACAGAGATTTGGATTTGTTTTTTATATATATCGGGCGTTTTTGTTTGCTCTCCCTTGGGAAGCTGAGACGAGATTTGCAATGCATCTTTCTTTAAGATTTATATAATAATATAAGTACCCTTTTAAATAAATGTATACGTATTAACTATTAATATAAAAGACAAAAAGTTAGTAGGTAGTTCAAATTATAATAAGCAAACATGTTAAAGTAGGTAATATTTTCATTTCATTAAATAGGTAATACCTAACCCAGTGGTTAGGTGCTTGCTTGGTAAGCTATAAGTAAAGCGGGTTCCAAACCCTGGTTTCAAACCTGTGATATTCTCATGTGCGAATAATTTTCAACATAATTTTCGCTTACCTTGCGGTGATGAAAATCAACGTGATAATCTTGTCCAAGAACATCTATTTAGGTCTCAAAAGACGTGTGAAATCATACAATATTAACTTTGCCGGCATGGTGGGCTATAGCCTGAGCCCACGCACTAGAGTGGCTGGGCCCAGCAATGGGCAAATAAAACGTGATGAATACAATACCAAAAATTCTACTTTCTTTAACATTTATTAATTAACTAAAATAAAAAAAATAAATAACTTATTACGACGGATTATTTATTGAAAATAGGGTGAATGACTTTTATGTAATCTTATCATTTGTTTCATTACCAAATGAGTTGGGACAATTGTCTTTCAATAGAGGATTTCTTTTAAATATAAATAAATAAATAAATATTTTGGGACATTGACACACAGCACCATCTAGTTCAATGGTAAGCTACGAGACTTGTGTTATGGATACCAGATAATTGATACACTACACATATATAACTTTAAATACATACTTACATATTATAAATATAAACACCCATGACTGGAGTACAAACATTCGTGTTCATCACACAAATGAATGCCCCCAGCGGGACTCGAACCCGCGACCGCTGGCACAGCAAGTAGGGTCACTACAAACTGAGCCACACGCGACGTCACTCGTTTCAATTCTCTTCATGCTTGACTTAAACAAATATTATTATCGGATAATCTATAACTTCGTCGTTCTTTTTTAACTGACTTGAAAAGGAGGACACTTAATTGGGGTACTTACACCTTTTATATTTTCCGCAATATGTTACGCAATATCTTCGCCAATAACAATTTTCATAATTTTTCTTTTAATCAATAGGTACAATAAATACCTCAACGGCATTTTCATAAAAATATTAAAAAAAATCACCAATAAATATGGAACAATTTAAAAAAAATCTATAAGATGGATGAAACAAAATAACTATAGCAAAAGCGAAAGAACTGTTGAAACAGATATAAGGAATAAAGGATAATATTAGCAACAAACGAATTTCTACATAAAAATTGTACAGTTAAATCTGTTAATGGATTGGAGTATATTACTATATTTAAAATGAGATTAGGTAGGTAGGTAATTTTATTTTAGCATGTCAGGCATAGTGGTAACCAAGCGAAGCGGGTTCAAACTCTGGGTCTCGCACCTCTAATATTTTCACGTGTTTCAAGGTGAAAGAAAACATCGTGATTCGTGAGGAAACGTGCATGTCAGAGAATTTAACAAGTTTTCGAAAGACTTGTCAACCCGCATTTGGCCTGGATGGTGGACTATGGCCTGATCCCCTTCCATATTCTAGAGAGGCCCATGCCCAGCAGTGGGACGTCAAAAAGGGCTGAATACAATACCCGATCAGTGTGGTCTATACTTTTGAATTTTAAGTACAAAAGGTGCCGATAGTGAAACACAAGGCATGGCGCCAAGTCTGGCTGTTATCAGATTCGATACATTATCGATTGTATGACGTCATTACGCCGATCAATATTTAAGTTGATAATTCATCTGTAAATAATCCCCATATTCCTTTAAGCAAAATAGTGCTTCTATGACAAAATTTATAATTTTCTGTGCACGATGTACCAGGATAGAGTACAAAACTTCCGGGGAAAGATTTCTAAACAAAAATGTGTTTAGGCAATTCTGCATTTATTAGGCGAAGAATTGCCAATATTATAATGTACTAGCGACTAACCTCGCTCCGTTCGTGTTTGTCCCTAGATACATTTTAACGGTCATTATAGATTTCTCAGATATGAGATATTTTCCCGCAGTAAAAACTAAAAAGTATCCTATATCATACCAAATTTCATCAAAATCAGTCTAATGGTTTTCTCGTGATGCGTTCCCAGACAGACAAAATTCTAAAAATTACAGATTTGGCCTCTGTATCGATAATGATGACAATTTGAATAAAATTTTCCAAAAAACATTTAAGTAATATTTTTTGGAAATTTATTCAACTCAATTACAATTTTATTGTATGTATAGATTATACATGTATGTAAGGATAGGTATACTTTATTATAATTATACGCTAATGCAATTACTTTGCGTGTCATGGAAGTTTTAGGGTATCTTAAATACATACAGTAGAAAGCCTTAAAATAAGTCTTCAAAATAAAGCCATATTTTCGCTTTTCATCAAAAGATGTTTGATTAAGCAAAAATATACTTCCATATATATCTGTAAAAATCTATACATATAATAAAATTGTAACTTAGCTGAATCTGTACATTAAATATTTTTTTGAAAGTCTTATTGAAATAGACATTTTTATCGATACAGAGGCCGAATCTATAGTTTCTAGAATTTTTTTCTGTCTGTTACCGCTCACGGAAAAACTACAGGAGGGATTTTGATGAAATTTGTATGGTGATAGCTGGTTATCCGGGTCAACATATAGGATACTTTTTACCGCGGGAGAATATCTCATTTTTGAAAAAAAATACAAAAGCTGCAATGTAAGAGTATACTAATATGTAAAACCTAAGAATTTGGTTTTTGGTCATCTGAACGCGGGCGGAGCCGCGGGCAATGCTGGTACTATAATAAAAGTACATTTTAGTATGTCTATTATGAAAATCAAAAGTCAATTTTGAACAATATGAAGTAATAAAACTTGATTAAACGCAGAACGAGATTCGGCTGACCTCCAGTGATAAAGTATGAACCCCACTAACTTTTTGTAAGCTTAGTGAATGCCTTATCAATTGTACGTTTGTTTTTTATAAACTTTTTAATGTAATTTAGGCAAAGATAATTGTTAATGTATCCTAATGATTGTTTGACAAACATTTGTTATCTTTAATGTACATTTTTACCATAATTTAGATATTAGATTAAATTAAATATCGAAATAAGTTTGTATATGGAATATTGCCGCACTTAAATATTTTTTATATAAACTCAAAATAATTTAATTAAAGTATGAAGTAGGAAGATATCTATTAAATAAATATGGTATTTAAATATTATATACGTTGTAATATTAAAATTGTACATATTATAATATAATAAATCTGTTTTTTCTGTTCTTGCGTCGACAATACCATTGACCTAACCGCACGCGGCACTTTTTTCGAAACAATTACAGGAATATTCTAATGAGCTTGCCATTGTCTAGTTAAATTCTAAACAACAAACGATATGTTAATATTATTTAAGCTGTATTGTTAACGGTAGAAACAAATGTAATGTACAAAAAGTAAATATTTTAGCCTCAAATGACAAAATATCTGTAATGAGTGTCCTCGTAAAATGCTCGTATTAAAATTTAAGAATTAATTACGTTGTAGCATCTTACCAGTCAATCCTATGTCAGATGATTCTGATGATGTCTCGTCACTGAAAGCCGTCGAGAGCTGATACAGGACGAGAACCAAACACACGCTAAAATTAACCACGGCCATCGTCAATTAAAAACTATTCGCCACTAAAAAAACATAACAGTTTCACTTCCACTCAATCACAGTGCCATCAGTCATAATAACTACTACACTAAAAATCCACTGAAGTAAATAATATTTTAAATGATTGTTTTTATGAAATTGGTAAACACGCGGTCATGGTATTTACAAAAAAGTTAACACATCCATGCTCCAATGTGGTTGGAAGTCAACTAATGGCGGCTGTGGGCTGTGGCGTGCGCTCAGCGCCATGCGATGCGTCACGCGTGTGTGAAAGAAACGAGCGTGAAGAGCGAGTCAGAGAATTGCACGGAGCTGAGGGATGTTTTCATAATCGATGAGAGAAGCTTAATAAATAGTGTAAAAAATATAATAATTAATTTAGATATCATAGGCTTATTTTTTATAATAATAGTACCTATATGGAAATAAGTATTAATATCGATAAGCCTCAAATATCGATATTAATATTAATAGAAAAGATAAATGTGTAACAACAGTTGGCTAAAATGCAGATGAATAATATTTTGTTTATTCAAATTTTATTATTTTTATACGTTTAAAGTACATTGCTAACACTAAAATTATTATTTCATTAAATCTATATTTAGTAAAAAAATATTGTACCTAGCAATTTTACTCAAAATTCGATATAAGTCACATCACTAAGATTGGCCTAGGTGATGCTATTATGAGTGCATAATTAATTTTGAACCTTATCACAATGATTTGGAATAGTATTTTACTTGCACCAATCCTGAATAGAATTAAAAATTGGTGAAGCGCCAGGCATTTTGTGCACAGCCACGCGGTGCATTCTTTTTGTTGATTTTTTGTTTTTCTTGGCGCTACTAGTTGTTGGACGGTATCGATAATTATTATTATCGATACAAAACATAGATTTAAGTCTTGAAAATTGCGACATAATAAAAATGTTATTTATTAATTTATTTTTAATATGTCTAACTAAAATATTTGAGTGTTTTGTAAGTATAGTTTAAATTCGCTCTCTGGAATTTTTAAGATTAAATCTCAAAATAATTTAATATTGATCATAATTGACATGACATTATATTTAAAACGTAACGTGTCACAATTTATCTGATTAGAGAAAATAAATATTAGAGAAAATAGCCTCAGAAAAGAATATACAAATAATTATTGTATCGTTCGTTTTTTATGCAAACAAATTAATAGATTTAAAAAAAATATGCTAGAAAAGCATTGTATACATAACGTTGGCTCACTATTACAAGGTTCTATGTTACAATTTTAGTACTTATTTAGTTATTAATGCTACAAGGCTCTATGTGTCATTAGCTACAGTTTTGCAAAAACAAACCACTAGATAGTGGCACATTAACTCCAAAATATTCAATTTTACATAGTTCTATGTTGTTTTTTTTTACGATAACAAAATAACGAAGTTCTATGTAAAAATTACTAAACTTCATTAAAATTAACATAGAACCTTGTAATAGTAAGCCAACGTGTATATTATCGATACAACCTTTACGTCTCTATTTTCTAAACAATTTTGTCGATAAACTAGAGTGCTTTGGCCACCATGGATTCATTCTTATTATTTACGTCTATTATCTATTGTTCCTTTCTTGTTAACGGCTGTATACAATGACGATAAAAGTTTTTAGGACTAATTACTTAGTTATGGTAAAATAACTACATGATTTGGCATTAAATAGTTTTGATTAAGAGTATATTATATTGCGGAAACAGTTTTAGACAAATATTTAAAAATAACAAAAATACATAAGTATGAAGTATATCTTACAAATTAACAAATTTTTACAATCGAACTCTACAATTCAATTTCACTATGACTTCAAAACTGTTCACATATAATATAGTAATTTATCTTTGCTAAAGACATTTTAAAAACAATAAAATGCTATAAAAATTCAAAATTAAAAAATAAAAGATTCGAAATTCGAAAAGCAAACTGTACGAATACGCAACGGGGGTAAAAAACAAAGGCATCCGTCGCACGAAGCCTTTGTTAAGGGGTAAGCGCCCAAGCCGTATCTGTGTAGAGTGACCAGAAAAAAACCACGTTTTTCAAATTCCTTAACTAATTATATAAAAAGGATGTATACAGTAAAGTCAATATAGGAAAATAATAAATAACTAGCTTATACATACAAAAATAACCTAAAGGTAGGTATATTACCTTAATCAATAAATCAAACATAATAATAATATTATATCCGTAATTAAAAATCAATAAATTATCTATCTATTCAATGTTTTTAAGATCTTGCTTGTAAACAAGGATAAAATGTATATATGTATTTTTAAAATCATGGCCACCCCGCTGTCTGCATCATAATAACGTTTAATGACTCCTTCTCGGTTAGAACATATACAGAATACGTAAACGGTAGGATTTATTGCATTCTTCAAAGTCGGCGGAGAGTTTTTGTTAATTGCTTACCGATTGCTTTCATTAAGATGATCAGAGTTTTGAGCATAGTTAAGACCAATCAACATCGAATTCTTAAATTATTTGCCTCCATTAATTGTTAGTTTTACATTTGTAACCCAAAAAAATTCTACCAAGAAGTTTAAATGCATTTACATAATTATATGTATACATGTACATTCGTATTATACTCTGTTTTTCCATTGGGTGATGAATTTTTCCGCAGGTATTTAATGTTTTGCTTGTATTTCTCAATAATCTCATAACTAAAAGTACTGGTAACTGAATATGTCATGCAACTTCGACCTTACATTGTTTCTGCTTTAGTCAACCTTGTCATTTCATGAGAAATAACTTTAATTAAAAATTAAGTAGGATCTATATCCATATTTAAAATTATTTTTATATATGTACATATATATAGAATTTAAATATTTTGTATATTTTTTCTGTTATTATTTTTAAGCTAGCTTCGCTCGGGTACCTATCTATCTAAAATTCATCAAAATCCGTCAAGCCTTTTAGCATGATGAAGTAACAAACCTACACACATAAATCTTTATTTTAGACTAGCGATTCACTCTCGCACCGCTCGGGTTCGTCCCTAGTTACGTTTTAACATTTAGTATAGATTTCTCAGAGATGAGATGTTTTCTTGCAGTAAAAAGTATCCTAAACATATGTTGACCCGGATAGCCAGCTACCATGATACTAAATTTAATCAAAATCTGTTCAGTGGTTTTGTCGTGATGCATTCCCAGACAGACAGATAAAACTTCTAAAAACTGTATATTTGGCCTCTGTATCGATAATTATAACTATTACAATAATATTTGCGAAAAAATATTTAATGTACAGATTCGACTTAGTTAGAATTTTATTATATGTATAGAAGTCCGATTTTAGCTGACATTCAGTCTATCTAACCTATTAATGTATCTTAAAACCTCATCGTTTTAAGATATATTACTAGGCAAGACGTTTTGGCGTAACGTCGTTTGTTATGACCTATTCTTTTGTTTTACTCTTAAGACTAACACAAAACATGTCTGGCGCCAAAAATATTAGCCTCTATTTGTCAGGTAAAATTATAATGACTCATTTTACTGAGGACTACTTAAGAAGTATTTAATTTTTAAGTGTAATATACTTCAGGTAATAGGTGTGCCATTGTTCATTTTTTGCCATTTCCTAATAAAACACTCAGACGTCTATTGTCAAAAGTCAGTAAAACAAAGGAAATTTTAAAATTCCGAATTTAAAGTTTAATTATGTTGGAGAAGTAGAAGTTCCGAGAAGGCTTTCTGTGTGGTCTTTAAATATGTAATTAGATAGAGCCAGAGTTACTATGTTATCTGTGTGTATTAATTATATTGATTTAGAAAAAGATTTTACATTATCTATACTTTTTAATAAGCGTAATCTATACTGATAAATAAAATTGAAGTGTCTGTTCGTGATGTCAAAATAACAGCTTTTTATTAAATGCTTATGTGAAATAAATTATATAGGTAAGATACCTAATTATAAGAAAAATACAATTTTAAATTTTTTTGTCTGTCTGTCAGTGTGTTCCGGCTAATCTCCGAAACGGCTGCACTGATTTTGACGGGGCTTTTACTGGCAAATAGCTTATATTATACGGAGTAAGCGAGGCTACTTTTATTTAAGACAACATCATGACCACATTGTGATCAAAATCCGCGTACGTAGAGATACACCCGAAGGAAGCGAGGGTAAGTCGCTACTATATTTTATTATAAATATTTTCTATCGTCCAACTGTTTGTGCTGTGTTCACGATGTTTAGTTACTAGAGTTGTGTTATAAACAATTACCTGCGTATAATAAAATTGTTACTAAGCCGAATCTGTACATTAAATATTTTTTGGAAAATTTTATTGAAATAGACTTTATTATCGATACAGAAGCAGAATCTATAGTTTTTAGAACTTTTGTCTGTCTGTCTGTCTATCTGTCTGTTACCGCATCACGGGAAAACCACTGGATAGATTTTGATGAAATTTGTTATGGTGATAGCTGGTTATCCGGGTCAACATATAGGATACTTTTTACTGCGGGAAAATATCTCATCTCTGAGAAATCTATACTAAACGTTAAAACGTATCTAGGGACCAACCCGAGCGGAGCGAGGGTGTGTCGCTAGTCCTTATATAAAACATAAAATACAATCTCAAAATATTAGTGAGTAACATAGGTATGAGTGTGTAACTTAAAGCATGTCACAATTGTTTAAGTATAATAAACAAATATTATCTGTATGTCCTTATTTCACGCAAGAATGCACCTACGGGTCGATGTGAGTTTTTTAATAGTATCAGTGTCAGTATTGATCATATAGTTGCGGTCATAGTCAGAATAGCTACCTACCACATTACGATCCACACGGTCTCCCCCGTGACCGTGTTTGCTGTAAAGTGTAAAGCATTCGAAACGTAGTTAACAATAAAATTTTAATAATAAATGCAATACATTTATTTAAATAAAATAACCGTTCTGAAGAAATATATGTAAACTGTATCGCGCCCTCGTGGTCTGTAACATTATAAAACTTAGCTAAGAACATGTTCAGGAATGAGACTTATAAAAAAAACCGTTTTAAAATCGGTCTAGCCGTTTTCGAAAAAATGGTACCTAACAGACACACAAATATTTCTTAACCCAAAGACCAAACGCATGTACCGTCTCCGTGGCCGTCGCGGGTAAAAATATAGTACTAGGAACTCATCCTCGCTTCGCTCGGATTCGTTCCTCATATAAACTTTCATCCCCATTTTTACCCTCTTAAGGGGTCATTTGCGGAATAAAAAGTATTCTATGTCCTTCCCAGCATCTCAAACTATCTTCTAACCAAATTTCATCTAAATCGGTTCAGTACATCCAGAGATACCCCCACACAACGTCACAAACTCACTAAACCTCTTTATAATATTAGTATAGATAACCGCGACAAAATCCAAAAAGATAGTTTCATTTAAAATGTAAAATATTCGAGTAAGTCTAAGAAAGTATTAAGCATAATGGTCGTTCGCATGAATTCATTATAAAAAAAATGTTGGTCGTTTGGAAGTTCTTCGCTAAGTCTACACTGATTGGAATGCTTTACCAAATTTTAAAATTCATTAGAGAATATTCTCTTTTAGATTTCCAAAAGCTTTGTGAAAGTCGTATTTTTTGTATATTGAATAATCCAAATAATGTTTTTCATTTCATTAATTTTTTTGTTATACTAGCTTTATTTTATAGTAGCGAGTTAGCGATTTATCGCAACTACTGGATTTAATATGATTTACGGTTATTATTTTGACACCATTCGTAGATACGGCTGTAATATTTTCATATTTCAAGATTAAAGTAAATATTTGTGGGATTTTACTTTCGATGCTCTTCTTCTTCAATTTTTTTCTAACTTTATACCTTATTTGTGATACATACTAGCACAGATAGATATACACGTGTTAAGAGTTGTACCTTTATATTAATACACTAAACTCTGTACCCATACGCATTCAGTTTTTTCAGACCAAAAGACTTGAATTATCCAACATAATTCACATGTCACCACGTATAGTATGTTACTATAAGACCTTCGCGGGTTTGCATAAAACAACTTTTAAGCTAGGGTCAAAATATTCAATTATATGTTCCACATAATAATACAGACTAGTGTTCGTCCAGTGCTCGAGATTCGACCGAAATTGATCTTTGAAAGAATTCATCTAAAAAGATTGAATTTAAAAGGCGTAAGAAATACCATGATAACCACACTTAATATTAAAAATTTGATAACCTCCATGGGTGGAACGCTAGCTATATAGAAAAATTCGATGTCCTAATATACGCAGACTCAGTCAAATTAAGGTTATAAATTTGTTATATTCAATTTATAGAAGGTCACAAAAAGTTTATGATACAAAACGAGATATTTACAATGTATTTTTACTTGGTCACGCATGGGTATACTCGTGATCATGGCGCTTGTAACAGTGCCGAAATATCGGGAGCCTGTAAAACTAAGCCAAAAACATGACAATTAGCCAATTTTTTGTCTTGAGAATATTATAAGAGGCCGTACTTTACAAAAATTTATATCAATAAGTTATATTATCTCAAAAAATAATTTTGACCCAAATTCTCCATAGAAATTTTAAATGGCAATTTTTCTCTACCTAAATACTAATTAAAAATTATTTTTTGTTAGACATCAATATATTTACTAATCAGTAACAGTTATCTTTTATTTTTAAAAAGCGGTTTAACAAAGTCAACGCAGTAATAGTTATTACTAAATGGGTCTCACAGTTTATCAGATTTGAGATAAGGATTGTCCAGTAAAGTAAACAATAGAAAGGATTTATGTTTTATGGGTGGCACTGTCTGTAACTTTTATATGACAGATAACTTATTTGTTCTTAAATGCATGTCTAGACAGGTTTTTTTTTTAATTTTACAACTATACGTTTTTTTCTTATAAAATCGAATTTGTAGTTAAGTTTCAAGATAATTTTTATTGCCACAATCAAAAATTCACTGCATAAATTAATAAGCTAAACCAAAAATATTAACTTGTTTTTAGTAAGTATAATATATTTGTTTATAAGTACGATTATAACCACGTCAAGCGTCATAGATAATTGTTCTACTCTGGGATATCTTTTTTATAATTTTATGACACACAAAAATTTTGTTTCTCATATATACTGTAACACTTTTTACTTTCTAGTCCTTTGACTCTTTACTTCATTTTTACTTCTTAAATTTATTAATTAACTAATATTGCCCGCGGCTCCGCTCGCATTCAAATGACCAAAAACCAAATTCTTAGGTTTTACATATTAGTATACTCTTAAATTGCAGTTTTTGTATTTTTTCCCAGAAAAGAGATATTTTTCCGCGGTAAAAAGTCCTATATGTTGACTCGGATAAACAGCTATCATAATACAAAATTTCATCAAAATCCCTCCAGTGGTTTTTCTGTGATGCGGTAACAGACAGACCGACAAAAAATCCAAAAACTATAGATTTCGCCTCTGTATCGATAATAATGTTTATTTCAATAAGATTTTCCAAAAAATATTTAATGTACAGATTCGGCTTAGTTACAATTTTATTATATGTACATAGATAATTATATACATTAGATTGTTGATGGCTAATGTAAAGCAATATAATATTTCTCATACGTTGCTAAAAGACCAAATGTTCATGAAATCTCACATATTCTTTCATTTTTTCGAGTATAATCGTTTTCTTCATGTATATTAGCAGGGTGGTCTCAAATTTTTTAATTTCGCCATTCGTGAGTTATTTTAAAACTTCATATTTTAATCGAGGTCTTTCCTCGAATCTTTTTTGCTGACTCTTGCATTAATGCTTTTAAATGAATTTTTAACATGTTCAATAATTATATTTTTTCTACTAAGTAAATAAATTATTTATTATTTTGCGTTTTTTTTACGATGTGTACAAGTCAGCTTTTCTACTGACTAATCTATAGGTATGTACATATAGTAAAAAATATAACGGATCGCTGTCTGTAAATGGAAGATATATGAGAAAAAATATTATAGGGACCCTTATCAACACAAATAGCACCCAAAACAATGATTGTTAGAATTTTTGTCTGTTTGTCCGTTTTTGCACGCTAATCTCAGAAACGGCTTATCCAATTTATATGTGGTTTTCACTAATATATTGTGGTAAGCTTCGCTTAACATTTAGTGTTTGTCTCATGTCAATCGGTTCATAAATAAAGAAGTTATGCTAATTTAAAGAATCACGTCGAACATTTTTGTTAAACTATCTATATCTATCTATTCACGTTACGCCAGAACGGCTGAACGGATCTGGATGAAATTTGGCAAAAAGATAGCTTATAGTCTGGAATAACACATAAGCTACTTTTTATCCCAGAAAAATGTACGGTTCCCGTGGGATAGGTTTGTTCTTGTTTCCCTAGAGGCGAACTCAGCGAAGCGAGGGTGAGCTGCTAGTACCTTAATATAAATGTAAAAATTAACGATGGATTTGCTTGTAAAAGTTTATTTAATAATAAATAAAATAGATTTTTATTTATATTAAGATTTCTTTTAGATTAAAAAGTACTCATAACTGCCAAAAATGTCTTATATATAGTGGTGATTACTTTAAAGTCGTATAGCGATCATTTTATTCATTCAAATATTTCTTAAACAAACATCTATATCGAAAATAAAACAAAAAAGATAAATAAAAGCGAGCCGAGCCGGTCTCGGTTGGGCCAAAGTCAATTTCGTGCATAATGATGGACCCATGAGATGGTTAGAGCAAAATTGCTTATTTATTTTAACGTTTCTCGTTTTTTCTTATGAAATTTGCAATGGAATTTTAAAGAGTTATCGGTTATTTGTTATTTTGATACAATGTAAGGTTGTGTCAGACTGTGAATTTAAATGCGATGATATCGCTCCATTGGTGTAGTGACTAGCGTGCACGACTTGGATCTGAAAGTCCTGGGTTCGAGTCTCGGGTCGTACGTAATATTGTTATTGGATCTTTGTGTCTAGATATTCTAAATTGATCTTCAGAGTTAAGAAGTTGGCGGTGCTAGACGTCCCTGTGTATCGTAGAGGGCGTTAAGTCAACCTACATCACCCTCCGGACTATGATAGTGAAAAAAAATTGAGTGCAGTTGTATCTGTGCACTATAATATCTGGTTTTAGTGAGAAACTGATTAGAAAAGCATTATTTTTATTATTATCACCTCTTAAGATTTTAAATGCGCCTGTTTGTACCTACCAGGTCCTGAGTTTGATTTTAATATAACTGTTCATGATTTCTCTGGTATCACGCAAAAATAACTCTCTAAATCTGTATTAGTTTTCACATAATTTAGCGATACTTGTGTGTTAATATAATAAAAAAGAAAACAATTATAAGAATAAGAAACAGACATGACTTTTTAATTGTCTAAGATGGCATATTTTCATGATTATCTGTTGCCGGTGAGCCTCGTTTTGGACCTCGAGGTGTGGTCGTGGTTGTGGTCGTAGTGGTAGTTGTAGTAGTAGTTGTAGTAGTGGTTGTTGGAGTAGTTGTAGTAGTGGTTTCTTCTGTGGTAGTGGTAGTTGGAGTAGTTGTAGTAGTGGTTTCCTCTGTTGTGGTGGTTGTTGGAGTAGTTGTAGTAGTGGTTTCCTCTGTTGTGGTGGTTGTTGGAGTAGTTGTAGTAGTAATTTCCTCTGTAGTAGTGGTTGTTGGAGTAGTTGTAGTAGTGGTTTCCTCTGTTGTGGTGGTTGTTGGAGTAGTTGTAGTAGTGGTTTCCTCTGTTGTAGTAGTTGTTGGAGTAGTTGTAGTAGTGGTTTCCTCTGTAGTAGTGGTTGTTGGAGTTGTTGGTTCCGTAGTAGTAAGTTCCGTAGTAGGAACTGTTTCTTCTTCTGTTGGTACAGTCGTAGTAGCTGCCTCTGTTGTTGTAGATAATTGTGTCGTGCTTTCAGTCGTTGTTATCGGTTGAACTAACCTCTTAAAAGGAGTAGTAGTCGTCCCTCCTAAAATTATTTTAACTATGCTTAATGGAATCCAATGACCAGGCATATCGGATTCGACAGGATTCGCAATGAACACTAAAGTATCATTTTCGGGATCTGGCCATTTTGCACTCATCGATAACTTTAATAGTAATAAAAATATGAGGAAGTTGCATGTTTTAAACATTTCAATCTGTGACAATTATTTAAAGTAATAATGAAATTCTGGAAATAAAACGAAATATATATTAAGATATTGTATGACTGTCTGTAAATGAACTTTTTCTTATATCTATGAGACATAAATAACCTAATTAGTTCTCACAGTAATAACTTACCTTATTCGTTTTAAAGCGGAGGTTGTTTTAAATCTTATTCTGCACATCGTTTTTAAAAAGTAAAAATACTTTTAAGTTGTACTATTTTACATGTTCAATTCATTTATTGATTCTACCTTTATTGCGTGCGTGGAAATTGTGCAATTGAGCGTTGATTTAACAATCTATGCTATAGTAATAAAACGGGTAGGACTTCTATACGATTCATGTGTTATGGTCACGGTATTTGACAATTTCGTAAAAGATTTAGGGTTTCGGTTAAAATTTTCTATAGAAAATATCAATAAAAATGAATAATTATATTTATATTATCAAAAATCACTTAAACAGATTTTTTTTTATTATTCCCGTGGGATTTGTTAGTGGCCATTACAAGTTTTCATTATTTACTTCTCGTTTTTAACACTAGTCTACCCGTTGATATGAAATTTTGTATTTTCACTCACATATCCTTGCAATATATTTATACTAAAATTCTGATTTCAAAGCTATGACAAAGGAGAACGTTTAAATAAATTGAAACTGCCTATTGTGTTACAATTCGTATATTTTAATGAGAAAATATGAAAAAGAAATAGCTGTTTGTTTCTACGCTTTTACGGCTTAATCTCATAACTTTTTAGAGAGCAAAACCTACACAATGCATTTTATTGTATTGAACAAGGTTAAACCAAAAATGAACTCTACATTTCTTTAATCTACGCCGGAAGTTGCATTTTTTTGTGTTACATAAAGGACCTAATCAATTTTAAAAGTCTATATAATATTTTGATAACTTTAAGTAAGACGTCCAATATATTTTTAACAATAAATTATAATCTTTAATTTTAAAGATAACATGAAGGAAACAGACATTACTTAATTATTATGATTATTATATATAAATATCATATGTATATTGCAGATTTCTATGTTTTATGTATAAACTAGCGACTTACCCTCGCTTCGCTCGGGTGCGTCCCTAGGTACGCAGATTTTGTTTACAATTTTATGGGTTTTAAATTTTTTTACGCGGAACCCTGCTTCTTTTTTAAAAATAAAAGTAGCCTTAGTTATTTCTTACAAAATCAGCTATCTGCCAATGGAAGTCCCGTCAAAATCGGTCCAGCCATTTCGGAGATTAGCCGGAATAAACAGACAGACATACAGATAAAATTTTTAGTTCAGTTTTATTCTTATCAGTACCGTACATACTTTCATATACAGTATAAAGCTGTTATTTTGACATTACAAACAAACTGCTGAATTTTCTTTATCTGTATAGATGACTTTATTTTACATGAACCCAATAATCTCTGAATTTAAGCGACTTCAAAAAAAGAGGAGATTCTATGTTCGTCTGTATTTTGGTTGGTACCGACTTCAAAATATCTAATTTGGTATCGATGGTAAATAAAAACTCCCGTTCAAATATTTCTTACATTTGTGTCTAGAGAACGGGTTTTTTTAAAATATTTTTAAATTTCCAATGAAGAGATAAATAAAAAGAGACATATAATTACGTACATTTAATATGTAAAGCAATGGGAATAATAACAACAATTAAAATACTCAGTCTTTGAAAAGGTCATCGGTCGACGTGTACACCGTTGAATATAGTAAAGTTATAATCAGTAGGATTTGTAAAATTATCTTCTATAGGAGGAAATACACAGTCAAGATCCACGTATAGTTGTTGCTGGACAGTCAATTTATCCACTATTTCTGCGAAGGTCGGTCGATCCTGAGGGTTTTCTGACCAACATACTATCATAAGTTGATATAGACTTGGGGACGCTCGAGCTGGCTTTGGTAATCGACGTCCTTCGGTTAAGTATTGTGGTACTTCTTGGTTACTTAATTCTGCGTAGGGAAAGCCACCTGAAAATGAATGGTTTCTTAAAAAATGTAGCTCTTAAATATAATCTTTTACGAGTATAAATTCAGGATAGTAATATTAGGTAAAAAAAAATTGACAACGTCAAAACAAAATTTATGGTGTAATCAAATTTATTTTTAAATATATTCGAAAATAACATTAAAAATTTAAGTAATAGTATAAAAACGTTTTAAAAGACAACAAAATCGAAAGTGCATAATAATTACAAGACTTCCGCGACACCATTCAGACAAAGAGAGAGAATAGCATTCCCAAGGAGGGTTGACGTCAGGCAGGCGGCCGGTCGTAAAACTTTTGCTAAATCCTATCAGCAGTACAGAAAATGTACTGCGTCGACCCCAAGTGATTAGGAAGTGGGCAGGGGGAAGAAGAATATTAGGTAGTTAGAACTTGAGTGGAAATTTTTATGTTACTTGTAGTTGAAAATAAAATATAAATCATGCTTATGTGATTTTTTTTCACATAATCATTTATTCCAATTTTTTCCCATTGACCTTTGGAAGGGCTTAAATTACTAATGCACATGAAATTGCGGAACATATGTTACATACGAATATACATCTATAATAGAATAATATAATACAATTATTTATCTATTTGAATTTCCTATGTTTAATATTATAAATCAGTTAATATTTGGAATATACAAAAGATTTCGGATTTACGGAACACGATTACGGAACCAGTATCACAGTAGAGCGTATTTGCTATTTTTTTTAAATTAGGGGCAACTTAATTAGGTACGAGCAGCATAAATTGAAACAAAAATTATTTTGAAATTTAATGAAAAAGAATTATCCCATCTGTTGGTTCGAAGAGTTTCTCTCTTGTATACAATAGATGGTAAAAACGCCTTTTACTATATTCATCAGACTACTTGCTTCATTTTATTGATAGGCGCTTGGGCCTGAACAATTTTCAGTATTTTAAATCTCAAACAATTTTCTAAAATCTAACGATTACTTCGTTGTTGCTTTTATTTCTATATTATGTCCATTAAATAATAACTATATTGATTATATAGGTAATGTGTTTTAGTTTTCTTCCTGAACATCCACAATCAATGTATAGGACTTGGTTAAAGTTTAACATTATTATTTTGTTTTGCATTATTATTGCTATGCTTAAAATATATATTTAATAAAAATTTAATACATATTAAACAGATACCTACTTATTAAAATTTTCTCTGATTTATTGTATTTTTCAAATTATGCATATAAGATAATAAGTTTTCGTTAGTATTTTAACCCAATGTTTGTTTTGGTTAATTAATAATTACCGTGACTTAAGACATTTTTTCCCTTGTATGTTAAATGTATTTTTGGACATCTATACAATGTACTAACCATAGTGTGAGCTGCCTCAATCATAAATGTGAAGGGTTGGTAAAAAAGAAGAATTTGCCAAATTATAAGAATATTACATTACAATATAAATATAAAAATATTTACGTACCTAATGTAGCTATCTCCCACAGCAAAACAGCGAAAGCCCAAACATCACTCGCACTGCAATAGCTTGAACTATATATAGCTTCTGGGGCAAGCCACCGGAGTGGGACTGGTCGGGACCGTGTGTGCACGTAGACCCCCGATCTAGAGAGCCCAAAATCTGCTACCTTTAACACTCCCGCTCCATCAACTAATATATTACGAGCAGCAAGGTCTCTGAAAAAGAAAAGTACATACTATTTTTTGTGGAGTTTATTAAAGCTAATAAACTTAGAAACCTTATTTTCTTTTCTCTATAATGATGCTTACAATAATTTAGCGTTAAATTTGTGGAATTAACAAGCATACTAATAAAAATAAAATGAAAAATAAAAGCGTTTTCAATATTCTTTTAATTATCGACTATGATTAAATAAACGTTTTTATACCAATAACTTAATGATGTTTCGTAAAAGAAAACGTATTTTGTCTAAATTATAATTAGATGGACAGGCGTTTATTAGCTCAATTAAAATTATTAGGCCACGTGTTTTATAGAGTAATAGCGAGTCCTCGCTTCGCTTCGTGTTCGGCCCTAGACAGAAACAAATCTATGCCACAGGAACCGTACATTTTTCCGGGATAAAAAGTAACCTTTGTACTATTCTAGACTTTGATCTATCTCTGTGCCAAATTTCATCCAGATCTGTTCAGCCGTTCTGGCGTGATTGAATAACAAACATCCATCCATCCTCACAAACTTTCCTATTTACGAGTATATCTAATACTCATGTTCATAATTAAAGTAATAAATTTTTGCTTTCAATTATTTTAATTTACTTTCAATTTTTTTTAACTTATTTGTCACTTTTGCTTTATATTTGTATTTATTTTTAATTACTTTCTCTCTCGTCATAAATATAATTCAAACGGGATATTTTACAGGTTTTTTTTATTTTTAATCGAGTTTTCCAAAGATTTAATTACAACAGAAATATAGAGAATTTGATAAAGAAAATAACTAAAGAAATTAACATCTATGTACATATTATTCAAATTGAGTGTCTGTCTGTGCTTTCACAAAAATTATGTTTTCTTAAGTAGGTACATAGAGTTGTTTATATAATACCAGTACCATTTTAAAAAAAAATGTCTGTCTGTTTTTCGGTTTGTTCAGGGTAATCTTTGAAACACATTATAAAAAATATTACTTTGTTACCAAATACTAAGATTTTATTTCTAGTGTAACTATTTTGATAGCTCCTAAATGAAATGGGGATAAACCCTTTGAATCCGGTTCCTTGTCAACTGTTGCTAGGTAACGATATCAGGCCGGATATATTAAAAGAGTATTTTTTTTAATTATTCTAACTCAATTTTCTATTGATTTTCAAAAAATCTTTTTAAGGGTTTTTTGGTCGCTATACCTAATCTGTTAAAATATGATGGTTCACATTGTTGTAGATTTTTTATCTATTATGATAGGTATATTGCTTAAATATTTTAGAAGGCGCTTAATATTTTCATATTACTTATATCATTTAAAAATAATGGACTCATGTTCATAGCAACATTATAATTTAATACCATTCTAGCACTAGTACTTGCTAGCATCTAGATCAATCAGTGCAAACACATATAGTTCGATAATATCGAGCAATTCTGATCTTAATAAAATCTTCCTTCCTAACCTAAACTTGGTGCACTCCCTAACCTAAACATTTGATTCCCTTCGACGACTCTCTTACTATACAGTCAAAAATGTTTTAATTTGTTATTGTTTTATAATTATAACTAGCGACTCAACCTCGCTTCGCTTGGGGTCATCCCTAAATACGTTTTAACGATTAGTATGGAATAGTTAAGCTATATATTAAATATATATAGGTTTGATGAGTTGTTGTAGGATGTATTATAACGGGTTTTCCCATAGGAATGAGATAATCTCCAACGGTAGAATGTAGCCTTTATCACTCTCCTGCCCTCCAAGTACTATCTCCACATAAAAAATCACTCCACACGCCAATCCGTCACTCTATTTCGACGTGAAAGAAGTGCAAACAAAGACACTTTCACATTTATAATATTAGTATGGATATGGATAGTATGGATAATCATTACTTTTTATTCTCACCTATGTGTAATTCCCCGGTCTTCTAAATGTCTCATTCCCAAAGCAACCTGTAGCGCATAGTCTCGCATAATAGTACTATCTAACTGTAACGCTGGCTCGGCTACGTAATGGTCGTTGGTCTTCCTCTGGATTGTACTGTCATTTGACTTTTCATCAAAATTCCCATACAGAGGAGGGTCTGAGTCACTAAGATTCGTGTACTCTGCTGCAAATAAAAAAAAATGTTCCTAAAATCTAAGAAATTATAAGAAGCGTATTTTTTAATTCGTAAACACAAATCTTTAATAAAGTCTCTAATTAGCCGAGGATAAGTAAATAAACATAATATTTTTATACGTTTTGACGTTGAGTATAGATTTCTTAAACTTGACCCGGATAAGCATCATACCAAATTTCATCATAATCTGTCCAGTTGTTTTGTCGTGATGCGTTCCCAGAATAACAGACAGACAGACAGAAAGACAGGCAGACCAAAATTCTAAAAACTATTGATTTGACCTTTGTATCTATCATAATAACTGTTTCAATAAGATTTCCCAAAAAATATTTAATGTACAGATTCAACTCAGTTAGAATTTTATTATAATACTAGCAGAGCCCGCGGATTTACACGCGCTAAAACTACAAAAAAACCTGTAAAAAGGCGGGTTTCATACAAACTTTCATCCAATATTTTACCTCCTTATGGGATGAATTTAGAAACATGCTAAAACACATATTTATTTGATTGTATTGAAGAGCATCAATACCAAGTTTCAAGTAATTCTGATCATAAATATTTTTTTGGGTTGTATTATAACGCGTATTCTCGTGGGAATTAGATAATCTCCCGCGGTAAAAAGTAGCTTATGTCATTCTCCAGCCCGCTAACTATCTCCGCACAAAAAATCATGCCCATACGTCACTCTGTTTGGACGTGAAAGAAGGACAAACAAACAACACTTTCACATTTATAATATTAGTATGGATGTATAGATGAACAAACCTGGGGAAACTCGAAAACGTGAAATACAATAATATTTCTCTTATAATTACTTTTATGCTCTAAGTTTTAATAAACTTCTAATGAGGTAACTTTGAATTTGTTATGGATTTTCGAATTTGAAAATATTGTTATTAGTTAAAGTGTAAAGCTTTAGGTGTTGTTATAAATTAAATGAGATCCTATTTAATTTAAATAGCAATTTTGTGGGCGCGAGTTTTAATTTGTTACAAAATATTTATTTTTTCTTATAAGATAATAAATAATTAGTGAGATATATAATAGCAGTGGAAGTCCAGTGGTAGCGCACTCGCTTGAGAAATCGAGTGAAGCGTGTTCAAATCCCGGGTCCTGCCTACCTATAATAACCTAATACCTTTAATATTTTTATGTGTGAATATGTCCAACATGATGACTACTTGTCTTAAAACATCTTGAGGAAACCTGCATGTCAGAGAGAACCTAGAAAGTTCTCAAAAGACATGTGACTTGGCAATTGTGGTGTACTATGGCCTGATCTCTATCGTATTCAAGGCCCGTGCGGCGTGCACAGCAGTGTGACGTTAGTAAGGGCTGAATACAAACAATATAATATTTTAATTAAAAAAGATAATAAGTAAATTAAATATTAGTCCCGCTGAGTTTCTTTCGCCAGTTCTTCTCAGGTCTGAGGCTTCTTCTTTCCGAACTGGTAGTAGATTCATGACGTTCAGTAAAGAATTGTAATAATTTAATGCTGAATAAAATATTTTGAATTTGAATACTAAAAATATTTTCTATGTTAATCGTTGAATTGAATATTAAATTTCGAAATGATTAGTTTATATCGCTTATTATTTTATGTTTATTTGACTTGAAGTTTATATAATAAAAGCTCCTATTATCTAAGCAACAAAAAGCTCGTTTAAATTTATTTATTCGCTAAACTAAAAGTTTTATGAATTAAAAATATATAAATTTATACTGATGTTTCTCTTATTATTAACTTTGGATAAAATATAGCTAAACTAGTTTTGAAGTTTAAATAAGCTTTAAGGCTGTAAGTTTATAAGGTAGACGCGCTCCTATTTAATTTGAATAATTTATGTCATTTAAGAAACATTGCTTTTATAAATTTTGTAGGCACACATTCTTTAAAATATATTTTATTTTAAATATGAACGAACTAAAAAGATGAAATTAACTTGACGAAGGAACATATAAGTCTTATGCAGTCAATATGACACAGGTGTTATCAAGATCTATCTATCGACGTACGAATCATCAAAATCGGTTAAGCCGTTTAGTAACGAAGGAATATAGGACCGGACATACATACAAGTCAAACACCTTCCTTCTTTGTGCTTTGCCGCAATCGGGTAGAAAAAGTACATATTTATATTGTAGTATAAATTTACTTTTAACAAGAAATGTTTGCTAGAAATTCTTAAATGATTTATTCAATCAGAGTATTATCGCTCAGAGACTTTGTGGTTAAAGTGATGTAACAATATTATGCCTTTATGTTATCATTATGTTTATTGCATGTAATTTTAGTATCTGACAGGTTGCTGTAACAGTCAATATTCTCAAACATGATTAAACCATGGCTCCATAAAGATGGCCTTGCCTCGCTCTACTCTTGAACTCTTGCTGCTTATATACTCTTCATATACGTATATCTCCAGCTCATATAACATTATATACGAAAAATGCTAGTACATTGCTACGTTATATTTATTATATTATTATATTTTTACATTTATATTTTAGTTAGTTACTTACTGTCAGCTTCAGACGGGCGTCCATTTACGCTACGTTCAGATTCTTCAGTCGTTTTCTGAACTTCGATATTTCGTCTGCCTCTCGCCGCTCTGAGCAAAGTTAGTAGGTCACCTCTTGGTGCGTGTTCTAATAACGCTATAAGTGGTGACCGTCGCGTGCAACACGCTATCAGTCTGATGACGTGCTTGTGTGAACCAACGTGTTTAAGCATCGCAATCTCTCGCAGGAAGTCTTGCATTTCTTCTTCAGTTGCAGTATCTGGAAATAAAAAGTTTTATTTTAAGATTTGGTTTCTAAGAAGACTACTTTTACTATTACTTTTAAAAACATTCATAGATATGAAAAACGGTTTTAAAAATATGAGTAGGATGGTTAGTTTTCAATTGTCTATATACATGGTTTAAAAAAAATTAAGGTTACTACAGATTAAGGTTATTTTTGACTTGTTCTTAATGTGTATATTAATTCATTAGGAAAAAAAAATAAAGCAAAATAAATTTCAAATATCTTCTTTCTTCTATCTATCTATCTTATGGGATTTTTCGCGTTTTTTTCTTGATGTTCAGTTCCCGACGATTCGATTGTTTTACAGCAACCATAATTTGTTTTATTTGACGACACGTTTGGCTCAGTTTGTAGTGACCCTACTTGTTTTACCAGCGGTCGCGGGTTCGAGGCCCACTGGGGGCATTAATTTGTGTGCTGAGCACGAACGTTTGTACTCCCGTCATGGGCGTTTATATTTATAATATGTATTTATAATATGTGTAGTGTATTAATTGTCTGGTATCATTAACACAAGCCTCGTTACTTACCATGGAACTAAATGGTGTTGTGTGTTAATTCCTAACATATTTTTTTATTTACGTGAACCCTCATTTATAATTTTATATATTATATTTATTATTATTATTTATAATTTTAATGGATAGTAAAACGTAATCTAAGAGATTCATCAAATTGAATAAGAACTAGTCATGTACTACACTAATTTGTTTATTCACTGATTTCATTCAGCATTTTTATTAAGATTTTTTATTACAGGTCCCTCAAAAAGTTAAACCCAATTATACAGGAAATCTACAAAGTTTTATTATAAAACATCTTTTATAAAAATCTTTTATATATTTTTTTCCGAATTATTTTACTCGGGGTTCTTAACGTATAATTAACTTATAATAACAGCTATATTAATCAATTTATGTTTAACTTACGAACTTATTTTATTGAAATTACGTTTTAACGTTTAGTATAGATTTCTCGGAGATGAATCATTTCCCCACAGTAAAAAGTATCCTATATGTCGACTCGGATAACCAGCTGATGATAATCATACGAAATTTCATCAAAATCCCTCCAGTGGTTTTTCTGTGATGCGGTAACAGGCAGACAAACATACAAAAATTCTAAAAACTATAGATTCGGCCTCTGAATCGATAATAATGTACAGATTCGGCTTAGTTACAATTTGATTAAATGTATAGATTTGTTATGTAACCAATTGTTATTTGTCAAAATATAATGTAGAAATTACGAATTTAAAACTGGATTTATTTAACTTCTACGGCGATGATCCTAGCCTAGCATTTCATCCGGTTGTGAATCCAAGAGGCACAATGAGTGATGGCCCACTTCGGTTGGCGGTATACAAGGTGGGTTACTCCTGGTACTCCTCTGATAGCAGAGTGGACCTTGGAGCAACCCCATAGTTGTTGTGATCTGCTTCGGCAAACCTGCCGTCGGGGAGTCATAGTTGAGTGCCTAAGCCATCCTGCGACTTTAAGACGAAGACTTTCCCATTAAGACGCGGGAGGTTTCGTTGTTTCGTTCTCACATAACCACCTGTGTGTATGCAGGTGGTATATGTAAATGCTTTTCCCAAAGTTCAAAAATAGGTCATATTCTATCTGTATAATAAATTTTATCTCAATCTATCATGCCATATTAGCGTGATGCAGTGATAAGAATTCATGCACACACATATTTAAAACTTTCGCTTTTTCAACAGTAGTCCGAATATTTAACCATCCGGTTTCTAAACAAATGAGATGGTTGCAGAACTCGCACAACATTTAACCATTACGTCAATTAAAGCCTAAACAACAATTTACAACACAATTATTACTACATACATTGTTATATAAAGTTAAACAATGGACTTACAGGTTAACGAAATAAAAATATACCTTCAAAAGCGGAACAAGCCAATTTAAGCGGCCTAACGAACTATGCTACTAGAATACCCGGGTCGGTCTAACTTTCATTTCCTACTCCTAGACATCTTTATGTAATGCTAATTGTAAAACACTAAATTCATTTCGTGTCAACAGTTAAATCGCTGTTTCTATAGGACGGATGGGTCTTTATATCACGATATTATACGTGCATATATTTAGAATTCGATGTATTCAGCTATTTTCAACGTCCTACTGCTGGGCACGGGTGGAGGCCTGATCTCCCCTTGCAATGAGAGGAGACTCATTGCGAGGTGGGTTCAGACATAGTCTACCACGTTGGCTAAGTGCGGACGGAATTCGTATGTCTTTCGAAAACTTGATAGATTCTCTCAGACATGCAAGTTTGCTTACGATGTTTTACTTCACCGTAAGAGAAATTATCAGAGGTGCTAGTCCCGGTATTTAAACTCAGTTCACTTGGAGCCCCAATCAAGCCTCTGGCCAACCATAGAATTTGATTAATGCATTTGAAATACGAAGAAAATATTTCGCTTTTAGAGTTCTGCAGTCAAAGGCAAAAACAGAATCTTAATAATTTTGCCATGTACGTCGTCCTCAATTTATTCTAGCTTTAATGGTGCATTATTTAATTATATTTTGTAGTATACTAATAAACCGTATAATATGTTGTGCGAGTTAGCTATGAACTATTTTCATGAAATAGGGGTTTATATATGTAACTATTTCACCGAATGAAATGAAATAAACATTCAATGTAGATAAAGGAAAATTTATTTTGGAAGAATTAAAGTGTTTGCTGTTTAAAAAGCGTCTCTAGGGACTGATCTATGTAAGTTTTGATACGCTTTATATTTCAATAGCTAATAGCTATAATACAAATATAGTTAATATATATAAAAGAGAATATTCATTTTAATTAAACAAAGAAAAAAAACGAGAATAACACATTCAAAGGGCTGTATACTGATATATGATAACTTGATTGATAACAAATTAACGATAGCTTTTTGTGAGGACAAAGTAAAGCTCTAATTAAAAAGAGTGAAGAACTTAAAAAAAATATCAAAGACCTTGTTTTTATGAACTTTTATAAGCGCAAACAAACACGAACAGTATCAAATTACTTTTTTCAAATTTTTATTTAATTTTTCTTAGGTACAGAAATACAAAAAAAATTGGAGCCAGTTATGCAAAAAACAGCCATGTGCGTAAAAGTACCAACAGAGTTATAAGCATTTTATTATAAAAAATAAAATAATTATAAAAACTAAACAATACTTATATAAACATTGTTCAATTTTAAAATAACCGGAAAAACAAAACATAACCCAAGTGCAACTATCGACAGAAAAATGCTTATAACTCTGTTGGTACTTTTACGCACATGGCTGTTTTTTGCATAACTGGGTCCAATTAAGGTAATGATATCATTTTCGTACGCACGTGTAAATTTGTAAGTACGTTTGAATTACGATAGAATAATTTGATGTAGTCGATATTATAGACGAAAGGGCTAATAAAAATCTATTCAATATCAATTACCACATAGCATTTTAGCTGCTACAGTGATGGTTTCCCCGCCTGGCATGTCTAGGTGGGCGGCATGCACGCGCCCAAAAGCACCGCTTCCAATCAGAGCGCCCAAATGCACTCGAGATCGGGCTATCTCCCAGTGATCAGTAGCAACTTCGTCGGTCTGTGTGGAAGAAGATATATTTTTATTATTATAACAAAACTTTTATATCCTACAGTACTTATGTTTTAGATGAAATTTTTTTATCGGGTTTTCTCACTCTTTTATTTTATTTTTTTGTTCCTAGCGTTTCGGATGCTTTAAATTTAAAGCAAACATGGTGAAAAGCTTAAACTCTAAAACTAAACTCTAACTCTAAAACTTAAGACATCAAATATTCACGTAAGCAAAACTTATCATGCTTTAATAAAATACTCAATATCAAATATTATCCTTATGAATCAAATGAAAATGTCTGTTGTTTCAAAACAGTAGTTTTGTCTGTTTTTCATACATCTTTAAAGCGGCTAAGTTGTTATTAATAAGATTTTCAGTGATCGATAGAGAATTGAGTCGAAAAAACCAGCTATTGTGCTTTTTTATGTAAATAAGACATCTCGTTTATATATTATTTCTATTATATATTACGAGAGTAATAGCAGGATCAGTTACCAGCTTGGAATGTTGATTAGGGAGATACTGTGCTAGACGACCTCACAAAGATCATATGAATAAATATATTTAGCAAATAATGTGCTTTTAAAATTTATTTTCAGATTAGAAATGTTACATTTATTTAAGAGCTTTTACATTTAAAGTTTATAAAAAAATATTTCCATATCAAACAAAAAATCATTCCATTCAATAGCAAACCAGTTGATAAACATAAAAAATAAAAATAACAAATTAGGTTTTATATATTATTATAGATGTTAATTGTTAAATTCATAAAGGAACACCTTTTTGTATGGTTTTTGTTATCAAATCTAATCTAATCTAAATCTAAAGTAAAATTATTAATCTAGCCTTTCAAGTTAAAACTAATCATATTATATTTAATTTATTATAAGCAATAAATTTTCTTTTCCACCAGAGAAAGTAAATGTACAGTCTATCTCTACGTTCTATAGAAGTTACGGCTCTACATAGTATCTAGTTTCTTTAAATTTTCCTTATTTTTAAAAGAACAAGACTATGAGTACTGATGTTATTTTTAAGTTATTTATCACTATTTTCCTCCTGTCAGAATGCTTATTTTGTTTTATATTTTGAAAAGAATAATAAATAAATATAAATAAATATATGTTGGGACATTAACACACAGCGCCATCTAGTTCCATGGTAAGCTACGAGACTTGTGTTATGGATACCAGATAGTTGATACACTACACATATATAACTTTAAATACATACATATTATAAATATAAACACCCATGACTAGAGTACAAATATTGGTGCTCATCACACAATTGAATGCCCCCAGCGGGACTTGAGCCCACGACCGCTGGCACAGGAAGTAGGGAAGTACTACAAACTGAGCCAATCGTGTCGTCAAAATATATAGTCTATATAAAATATAGATAAAGTTTTATGTTTTTAATTTAGATATGTAGTAAATGAAAAAATTAAAGTTTAACAGAAAATTAACGTTATGTTTCGTGAAATTAATTAACAAAGAGAAAGTAATAAATGACTCTACGAGCAGTGTCATTTTAACTATTTAATCAACATTCTCCGGCTGTATCTTCGTGACAAGCGTAAGTATAATTTGTTTTATAAATGCTGTAATGATATTAGTAACCATAATTAGGTTTCTAAATAAAATAATAACATAATTGAGCCCTATCTACGTCTGGACATCCCTTCCTGTGAGAGGAATCAGGTCATAACTTACTTTAGCCAAACGCAGGTTGAGCACTATAGATAGGTTTTCTTAGATATGTATGTTTCACTCGCAGAGTTTTCTATCACCGTATTAGCAAGTAGTTATCATATTGAAAATTAATATATACAAATAAATCTTAGGAGTGACTGACTTGGGATTTGAACCCGCTTCATTAGAATTTTCAATAGAAACACAATTTTTCGTTTGTATTTATTGCTATTGCTATAAGGAAATATAAATTCTGACGATGTTTTATCTCGAGCAGAAAAATACTATCTATTAAATAAACAACTTACAATGTTTATGTTACATTTACCTGAAATTCCTTGTGAACGTAGAGAGGGCTCTCCTCCATTTGACCTTGAGACGGAATTTCGTTGTTTCTGTAAAAAAAAAAGTTTTGTAAGAAAAATATTTTTGTCAATGAAGTAAAAAACTTTTTCTTTAAAGAACTCTTTAAGATTTGATTTTATAAAATCGTCAAAATAATTTAATTCTTTTTTTATCTAAAAATTATTATCTTTTTATGTTATACTTAGTCTAAAAATTAGATATTTCATTGACTTAGTGCTTATTGATGATATGATGATCAAACTACCAATAGTTGTAGTACTTTACAGTAGTATTGAGTATTTTTTTCCATTTTAAAAAAAAAATCCTTATTTCTAAAATTTATATACATACATATATAAATAACTTTTTTTTTTCGTATTATTTAAAGTAAAATATGTATTTTATTTATACCGATAGAATCGATATTTAATAGTCTGAATTATAAAACTGAACAAAAAAATCTGTATTGAAAACTCTGGACTGGTTGGGACAACAACACATAGCATCATCTATTTCCGTGCTAAACGAGGCTTGTGTTATGAATACCAGAGAGTTGATACACTACACATAATATATAACTTTAAATACATACATATTATAAATATAAACACCCATGACTGGAGTACAAACATTCGTGCTCATCATACAAATGAATGCGCACGCGGGACTCGAACCCGCGATCGCTGGCACAGCAAGTAGGGTACTCACTACAAACTGAGCCAAACGTGTCGTCAATTGGTTGTTTGGATAAATAAGCAGTAAGCACTCAGACAACGATTTGAGTAAGTCTTGACATAGAAAAAAATACATAGTTACCAATCAAAGACGTCATTAAAATACCCATGCTCGTATAAAAGATTAATAGATAAACATCATAATTGAAATATTTCATTTTCATTACATTCCTTTTAAAGTACAGGTCTGACATGAATTCCTCCCAGTCATTGTATTATAAAAAACCTAAGACATGCACTTAAATATACTATATAAAAAATTCTCATCATGATGAAGAATCATTGCTACATTGAGGGCATCCCGTCACTAACCGTGGTACGCAATAAGATTAGTGATGGTATTAATCGATAAAATGTAATCGATATTTTAGCTTCTACTTCACTAATCTATTCAAACAAATACAATAATTCGAATAAATATCGATACAGTATAGACATATAAACACATTCGTTATGCTTCGTTATGCCTAGCATAGTATTATATGATTTGTGGCTATGCCAAAATATTACTTAACGTGAGGTTTAAAATACGTATGTAGGTATTCAAAAAATGAAATTAATATTTGTTTTTTTAATATACCTATAGATAAAACTAAAAATCACATTTTTTTCGTTATATAAAACAATAGTTCACATTTTTGTTTTTAAAATCCTGTTCTAATTTTTAAAACAATACGTCATTCCCTGTTCGAAACTTACAAATGTACATGAATACATAGTGAAGGGAGACATAATAATTATTGGTCATCAATAATAATTAACAGTCTTACGTACAATATTATTTTCATCGATTTACTAAATAATTAAAAGTAGCTACTACTAAATACATATTTATTCGTAATTAACTTAAAAATACCAATGTAAGAATTAATAATATTATAATTAATTATAACAATCGATTATTATATTTAAAATCAACGTTAAAAACATTACAACAATATTTTAAACCTAAATTGAAAGAGTTAAAAGTAAAGATGTATAAAAAACCACATGACATCATTCCCATTGTTAATCATCGATATACCATAAAACACAACCCCTATAATCTTGTCATAGGTCACTCTGTGGTCCACGTGACGTAACGTTTACGTAACAATTTACTCACCGTCCGTTCACACGCGTAGACCAATCATAAGAAATTAATATCACCTACTATATTACATTTTGAACTCTATCGTTTATGAAATACGATTTAATTTTCTTTGCCAGTAATTAAGCGTCTTGCATTTGAAAACTTTTATTATGCAGCTGCAGTTTTAAATTTATCCGATTTTAAGTCTTATTGCCTTGTGATAGAGCTTTTACTTATTTTGTGTTATGGATTTTAAGTTTGTTTTTTCTTTAGATGATGTACACATAGCATAATGTATCCAATCACCTTCCTACATCTGACTTATTGCATTAGGCTACTTTTCCTAGTAATTTCAAGTTTCAACTAAGAAATGAATATGGACTTCGACATATTGATTTCAGAACCAATTATAATCGTTAGTCGGAGGTTAAATGATGACATAAATTTTACTATCTATAATATATTTTATCTATACATATAATAAAATTGTTACTAAGCAGAATCTGTACATTAAATATTTTTTGGAAAATCTTATTGAAATAGACTTTATTATCGATACGGATGCCAAATCTATACTTTTTAGAATTTTTGTCTGTCTGTCTGTCTGTTACTGTATCACGGAAAACCACTGGAGGGATTTTGATGAAATTTGGTATGATCATAGCTGGTTATCCGGGTCAACATATAGGATACTTTTTACTGCGGGAAAATATCTTATCTCTGAGAAAAAATGCGAAAACTGCAATGTAAGAGTATACTAATCTGTAAAACCCAAGAATTTGGTTTATGTCACCTGAACGCGGGCGGAGCCGCGGGCAATGCTAGTTGTTAATAAATTAATTATTTCTTTTGTTTTTATTCAAATTGAAATATTAGCAAAGTTTTTTATTGTACGTGATTATTATTTTATGTCTAATTACTTATCTGTTTTTGTTGTTTAATTGCTTCAAAAAAACAAATACTAAAAAGTAAACAATTATTTGTATTCAGCCCTTTTTAACGTCCACTGTTGGGCACGGGCACTTCAGTACGAGCGGAATAATTATCTATACCAATATTATAAAGAGGTAAAGTTTGTGAGTTTGTGACGTTGTAGGGGGTAATCTCTGGATGTACTGAACCGATTTATATGAAATTTGGTAAGAAGACAGTTTGAGACTGTGGAAAGGACATAGGATACTTTTTATCCCGGAAATCATCCTTTAACGGGGCGAAAATGGGGATGAAAGTTTGTATGGGGAATCAATCTAGTTTATTTTACATTTATAAAACACGATCCCAGAAAGTTCCCACTCTAAAGAGCAGCTATTGCCTGATTTGAAAAATTTGTAAAAGACTGTTTCTTGTTACGATTCTCTTCACACAACTTGGGAATTATATGATCTTCGATCTATATTATGTTATGTTGAATAAGAAATAAAATAAATAAAGAACAAATAAATAAATAATAAATAAATATGTTGGGACATTAACACACACACCATCTAGCTCCATGGTAAGCTACGAGGCCTGTGTTATGGATACCAGATAGTTGATACACTACACATATATAACTTTAAATACATACATATTATAAATATAAACACCCATGACTGGAGTATAAACATTCGTGCTCATCACACAAATGAATGCCCCCAGCGTAACTACAAACTCAGCCAAACGTGTCGTCAATAAAGTACATATATGCGTAATTTTATATCTCGGGCCTCAGTCCTGGTTTTGGCAGAAAACTAGTATTTTACCTGTACATTAATTCGCCGGATGCATAATTGCCTTACTCCAGTGTATTACCATAGATATGTAACCTACTTTACGTAAAAGGAGGTGATGAGTAAGTTTGCGAACGGTAATATTATATGTTACTAAATAAAGAATACGAGTATTACCAAATCGATCTATATCTATATACGAGCCAGTCCCATTCACTTGCCCTTTGGCTTTATGTTTGCAATTCATTTAGAGCAATGGTCCAAGTTAGAATATATTATGTATTTCTATGAAATATTCTTTGATTTTTGTAATATGTACCTATAACGTATTTAAGCAATGTTGTCGTAGATAAATATACAAAAGTAGATATTATAATTATTCTTCTCCATTGCGACGTTGGTTTCTAATGTTACATTATTTCAATCTATACAGATAAATAAAATTGATCTGTCTGTATGAAATGTTAAAGTAACAGCGTTTTACATATGAAATTATATACGGTAATTATAAGAAAAACTCAATTTTTAAATTTTTTGTCTGTCTGTCTGTCTGTTTGTTCCGCATAATCTCTGAAACGGCTGGACTGATTTTGACGGGACTTTCACTGGACGATAGCTGATGTTATAGGGAGTAACATAGGCTACTTTTATTTTAGAAAAGGAATTAGATACCGTTCAAAAATATTGTAACGTATCTAGGGTAAGTATTCCTATACGTTTTAATTTTTTTGCAACTCACTAGTACAGTAATAAAAATTTGTATGGTTCAAAATCACAGAAAGACCGAGTCAAATTAATTTACGGGTATTTCTCCGAGATTGCGTTCTTCTGATCTGATTTAAATTATATTCATTTTTTTTTGGCCAAAAATTATATTCATTTTTGGCTCTATTCCACATACTCTTATGATTAAAGACATACTAAATAATATTTGGAAACGAAGAACGCAACCTCGGAGAAATACCCTTACTTTCCACATACGAATACCAAGATTAGATCTTTATATTACGAATAATATATAATTATACGACGAAACTAGAATCTATTTCGGGGTTTGCCCAAAAGAATTGGTTATACCTAGAATTGACAAATCTTTCCGCGGACACATTCTGTGTTAGTTAGTACTTGGGTGCTAGTACATGATAGTACCCATATCATGTATGCATATAGTCCTTTTTAATGTTCCAATTCTGGCCCTCTCAATACAAGGCGCGATGAGGTATTAATCAATCATCATCAGATATAATCCATCGCGCTGGCCAAGTGTGGGTTGGACTTCACATGAAGGTGAAGGTTTCCTCACGACATGATGTCTTCCTTCACAGCGTGGCAAGTACTTATGTTGAAAGTGATTCCCACATAAGAATTTCAGAGGTGCGAGACCCGAGGTTTGAACCCTTTTCACCACCACGTCACGTCACGGTCACGGGCCTTCCTTCAATACGAGGGGGATCAGGCCATAGTCTACCACGCTGGCCAAGTGCGGGTTGGTGGACTTTACGTGTCT